GTGGAGTTGTGGCTAAAGTTGTAGAGCACTAGCCTTGAGCACAAAAGCTCAAGGACAGCTGCCAGGCTCTGGAAGGAAGGGAGAGAGAATGAGTTACTGTGTGAATCTCTTTCATTTCAGTACTTTTCCAAATCTTACTGTTCCCATCTGGAACTCTGCAAAGCTATGACCCTTCAGAATCCTTGATAAATAACATTCTGACTCTTAACTTATAGGAAAGAAAATTTTAACAGCATTCACACATGCTAACATTCACTATTGAAAGTAGGTAACTTGTTATGTATTTGCCAGGTTCTGCAGCCATCATAACAATCTCAAGTAGTTATAAATGTGAGAGAGGTTTCTGAACTCAGTTATCTTCCACTGAACCCAATGTGTATCTTTATGCCAATGCCATACCACAAACTTGATAATCAGGAATATATGTATATGTCTTCCAATTTTGTTTTATTTTGCAATATTGCTTTGCTATTCTAGGTCCCTTACATCTCCATATGAATTTTATGACTAGTGTTTTTGTTTGTCAGGAAGCAAACTGGTAGATACTGATAAATACTGTGTGTATGAAAATCACTCGAGGAGTATTCTCATCTTAACCGTATTGTTTTCTAAACTTTTAGCATGTGACAGCTTTCTGCTTACTTAGATCCTTTAATTTCTTTCAGTAATGTCTTATAGCTTTTAGTGAATGTCTTATATTATTAATTCATTAAATTTCTTGATTATTCTATTCTTGATGCTATTATAAGTGGTCTTTTTTCTTAATTTTATTCTCATACTTCACAACCTGTTTATAGAAATACAAGTGGTGTTTTGCTTATTGAACTGATATCCTGCAACTTCACTGAATTCATTAGTTGTGAGGACATTGCTTAGGACTTTCTATATTATACTATATTATTATTGTTGGCAGCAAATAGAAATAACCTAGTTCTTTTTCAGGTCTGGATTTTCTTTTTTAATTTTTCATGCCAAATTACCTTGGCTCAAATCTTATACAATATTTCCTAGAAGGTGAGTAGAGCAAACATGCTTACACACTGTTTCCTTGATCTTAGGTAGAAGCATTCAGCATGTTACATGTGGGATTGTCACACATGCCCGTATCACACTGAAGCAGAGAAGAGCCCTTCTCTAGTTCATTGAGTATTTTTTATCACAGAGGAATGTTAGATTTTTGTCACTTGCTTTTCTGAATCTACTGAGATGATTGTGTGATTTTTTTTGTCTATTAACAAGTGCTTTAATATACCATTAATATGAGATACTACTTAGTTTTTATGTTAAGTTAATCTTACATTATGGTACAAATTCAACTTGGTAATTCTTATAACCTTTTTTTAATGTTGCTCAATTCAGTTTGCTAGTATTTTGTTAAGGATTTTCACATTTACATCTCAAAGCAATGCTAAATCTACAGAGGTTTATTTGTTCATGTGTCTTTTAATGTCGGTACCTGATTTTGGTATTAGGAAAAAAACTGACCTTGAGAATGAGTGAGAGACACGCTCCTCTTCTCTTTCTTGGCACAGCTTATGAAGGTTTGGTAGTATTTCTTCAAGTGTCTTAGAAAAGTTTAATGTTGAGCAGATTGAGATAGAAACAGTTCCCTTGCTCAGAAGCAGACATTCTCAACAAGACTGAAAGACAATGAAAAAAATCTCTCTTCCATTGCAATATTTGTAGTTTTCTGTGATTTCAGTGTATATTACCAGTAGGACAACCTCCTTAATATGGAGTGAATTCCAAAGGGTAAACATGGAGTAGGTCAGTCTTTCATTAAATAGAGAAAAAAAGGAAAGCTCTGAAAGACTGTAACACTGCTCCATTTAGAGACTTTCTCTCCAGTCCTCAATATATTAGAAAACTTGTCATTGCTCCCTATTGTCCTGAAACAACCTTTGATCATTTTCCATTTCCTCTTTTTCCCCCTCCTTAGTTTAGACTCCCATTATCTCTATCAGTATCCTTTTGTGGTGATCCAGGCTTCAGTTCAAATATAGTATCTTTTATTAACTCTACTTCTTGGCTTAGAAGAGGGAAAAAAATTAGTACTAATATAATGAAATAAAAATGAAAGTGAGAACTATGGTGAGGTTTAGAAAAAGATAAATTTAGAAAGTAGATGAAGCCACAAATGATTAAAACCTGAAAACAGAAGTTAATATTAACAAAGTGAGATGGTTTTACTCTGTGTCTGCCTTTTTTTTAAACTCCATAGGTCATTGCTTCTGCAAGTATTCTTTTTATTTGGTGGAGGGAGTGGGTAATTGGGGTTTCAATTTTATTTTATTGTAAGGTGTTGTGTTGTACAGAGGGGTTACAGTTACATAAGTAAGGTAATGAGTACATTTCCTGTCAAACATGTTTACCTCCTCTTAAGTATTCTTTCAATGGTACCATACCAGTCTGTCCTATGAGCTTCTGTTCTCAATCATCCATCTTGGAAGAAATCTTTCTATCTCAGTCTCACATGAATCCCCAACCAAACTAACAGGCCCAAATATATATCGGCAGGCTCTTGTTTAAGGAAAAACACGCTTTTTCTTGTAGTTACCAGCCTTCCTGTAACTATCTAGTCAAAAACAGATGAATACCAAAGAAGCTGTCTCCTTGATCATTGCTGTAATGCCTGAGGCAGGCTAACTTTAGTAAAGAGATGTGTTTGGCTCTCAGTTCTGGAGGTTTAAAATCATACCCATGGCATTTCAGCACCAGTTAGAGGACCTCAAGAAAACTGAGATCACAGTGATAGGAGCATGAATGGGAAGAGATTATAGCTCCAAAGAGGAAGCCAGAGAGAGACTAGAGTCCCATGGGCACACTTCCAATTTACCTAAGTACTTCCTCTTAAGCCTCACATTTTAAAGGCTCAAAACCACTTCCCGATTGCCCTGGAGAAGACTTCAGCACATGAACCCATGGAGGACAAACAACATCCTAAACTGTAACTGAGGCAGTAATTGGCTCCACAGCTAGGACAGATGCCCCTTAACAAGCAGATAGCTGGAAGTAGATCTTAAAGTTCCTCTTCAGATTTCACCACTTCCAACTCTCTAGGATGTTCCATATTTGTCCACACTCCTTTTAAATGTTTCCTCTGGAGCCTATGTCTTAAAATCTTTTATTTCGTCTTGTTTGCAGGGTGTGTTGTGTGTCTGTGTGTGTTATTTATTGGATAACTGTTTTCAATAATTGGGGTTTTTTGGGGGGGGTCCGGTCGTGGAACTTTGGGCGTGGGCACTGTCCCTCAGCTCTTCAGCTCAAGGCTAGCACTCTACCACTTGAGCCACAGCGCCACTTCCGGCTTTTTTCTTCTTGTTTATGTGGTGCTGAGGAATTGAACCCAGGGCCTCAGGCATGCAAGGCAAGCACTCTACCACTGAGCCACCTTCCCAGCCCCTGTTTTCAAGAATTCTGTTTGCCTCTTTGACTTTCTATCTCTGAGCTATGGTCCTTTGTCAGTTCAGATCTGATGTTTATTACCATTGCTTTTCTTGATGCTTCAAGTTTCTACATAGGAGTCCTTATGTGGATAGTTCATAACAAATAGGTGATGTTCCCAAATTCTATCACCAGATTTGAGTTCTGAATCCAAGTGTGCATCTTAGACAGAGTTTATTCTTTAGAAGTTTTCAATTATGGTTAAGCGGTAAGTTTGACCATTATTAAAACAAAACAAATGTATGAGTAGTAGAGGAAGAAGTGAAAGTGAAGAAGAATTAAATCCTCCTCTTCACAGAGGAGATTAATATTAATTACCATGGCTACCGATCATATTCAGCCAGCAAGATAGTTATTTCTAAGTTGTTATTCTTAATTGTGAAAGGAACGTCTTGGTACTTTGCTTTTGTCTTATTAACTGACAGTCTTGACACTCTTGAGAATTGTGCACATGCAAAAAATATGTAAATGCTACTTTTCATGACTCACTCCAAAGAAACTAAAATTATGGTTTTAAAATAGGCCTGGCTTTTTATTTTCTTTAATAAAAACAGCTCTACTACTACTTAAATAGTGGAACAGCAATAGATTAGAAATGGTTGGCAAATAGAAACATGGTTTGTTAGTCTGAGATATAAATTACTACAGACAAAATACCATTGTGTTCTCCTTACACATTGTTAGGCTGTTTGTTACTTTCTGTCTTTCTTTTTATCACAATAATCTCTGTAATTAGTCACTGAAGAAATCAATGTCTGACATTATTTAATAGTGTATATCACAAGAAATTAATTTTTTATGTGTTTTTTGCCTACCATAAGTTTCGAAAGTAGTTAAAGGGACAAAAACCTGTAATACTGGTGGAGCATTTTTCATGCCAGGTGCAATGCCAGATTTTTTTATGAGGATACCAGCCAGTGGCAGGCATGGCGTGACTACAGCAGCTGCCTCTAACCCCCACCAACACGCACTGAGTGAAGTAACAAGGTTTGAGTGACAGGAGTACAGGTTTGGAGCCCAGGGGTTAGGGCAGTATTGAACAGAGAACTTCTTTTGAATGGGAAGCTGGAGGGAGCAGATACCCGAGGGTAGCAAAGATCAGGTACATAGGGAGTTAGAACCAGGCTGGCCTCCAGGAAACAGAATCCATATCTTGCATGGATTCTAAACAGCCATAGATGATATTTCATTTTTCCTTTGTTTAACATATGAAATATGGTACCAATTTGGAACACTTGCAAAATATGCTTAGGAAATTTCATGTTAGGTTGGAGATAGAATAGATACAAGACAAACTGTTTTTAGAAAAGAATTAGGAATCAGGATAAGAAATTATACTTCATTTTATAATCATGTAGTTTGCTATTTTGTCTTACCATTTGTCTGTGTCGTATCTTAGCCTGATAGTCACTTCTTCAACAGTGGCTGAGTTACCATTTGGAAGAAAAAGGGAAAACTGATTGACTCACATACTGTGGACGCCTGTTGGGTGAGAAGTCAGGGGAGCTCTGCTTTCAGTGGATGCTACTTAAAGCGCACGTTCTTTTCTTTTACAGATACCCAGGTGTGCTCTCTGAGGTCCAGGAGGAAAAGGGCATTAAGTACAAATTTGAAGTATACGAGAAGATTGATTAATATAAAGATGTTTTCTGGTTTATTTCAAGTTGTGCCAAACCCTTCTCCCCTTAAAATTAATGTATTTTTACATTGGAAAAAGACATATATTTACTTTAGATCTATAATTTTTTTGTTTGCTTATGTGTTTTCTTGCATGCTTGTTTTATGGTTCTAGAGATCAAGCACAGGACCTCACACATGGTAGGTTTGCACGCTACTACCCAGTCACAGTCTTAGCCACTGGATAATTATATCTAAGCAGTATGTTTTTATTCCTCATTAATATTAGGGAGGTTATATTAAATACCACTTAGGAAACATCTCTTGGCATAACTGGCTCAGCACCCTTGCTCCAAGGCCAGAACTGACTTCCTCCCAATACCTGCTCAAGGCAACATATCTATCTGCAAAAAGGCCTGAAGTGGAAGAGTGCCCTGGGAACATGAGTTAATGTAAGGGCCCACAGAGATAGGAACTAGATAGATAAGTCTATAGGGCAGGGACAGGAACAGAGAGCTATAACTCACATTTTTAACAGAAAATTAGGTCAGAGTTGGGCATGTGAATTATTCTGTGCACATCACACTTCTGAACAAAGTTCTTTTGACTTAGACAGGGACTCAGTAAATTGAGAACTCCATTATTATCTATAGGGCTGGTCAAGAAACAGAAGGAGATTACCTAAGAAGCACTATGAGACCTGTGAAATTTCTTTCTAATCTTTTGTGGGATTCGAGGGCCACTGTGGTAATGTTCTTTACCCAAAAGAGAGCAATAAAAATGATAGCTGCAGTTAAAAATTCATAGAGATAATGAACTAAGAATGGATATTACTAGGAACCAAAATTAGCAAGTTAGAAGCTAAAACTTTACAAAGTTTTTTTTTAATGAGACTAAAATGTGCTACCATGTTAGCAGGACATAAATTATTTGGTATGCAAAAGAAATAGCATTTTCTACTTTAAAACACTGAAAAAGGAAATTAAAACAGAACTTAGAAAGTGACAAAACCTCCCATGCTCCTGGATTAGAAGGTTCAACATCGTGAAAATGGCAATACTTCCCAAGGCTATCTACAAATTCAGTGCAATACCTATCAATTGTCCAGCCTCATTCTTCAAGGAAATAGAAGAGGCAATCCAAAAATTCATATGGAACAATAAAAGGCCCCAAATTTCAAGCTCTACTACAAGGCCATAGTAATCAAAATAGCTTGGTACTGTCACTAGAGCAGACCTCAGGACCAATGGAATAGAATTGAAAACCCAGAAATGAACCAACAGACCTATAGCCATCTAAGCTTCAGTAAAGGAGCTAAAAAAATAGAATGGAAGAAAGACAGCCTGTTCAGTAAATGGTACTGGCAAAATTGGTTAATCACTTGTAGAAAACTAAAGCTAGATCCTTATATATCACCCTGTACCAGAATCAACTCCAAATGGATAAAAGACCTCGGAGTCAAAGCAGACATTCTGAAAAAATTACAGGATGGAATAGGAGAAACCCTAGGTCTCCTTGGCACAGGCTGAAATTTTCTTAACAGAGATCCAGAAACACAAAAAGCAAAAAAGGGTTGGACAAATGGGATTGCATGAAGTTGCAGAGCTTCTGCATGGCAAAGGACATAGCTAGCAAGATCAATAGAAAGCCCATGGATTGGGAGAAAATCTTCACTAGGCATACAACGGACAAGGGTCTCATATCTAAAATATACCTGGAACTCAAAAAATTAAATCCCCAACAACAAATTCTCAAACAATTGCCCAAAAAATAAGTGAGCTAAAGACTTAAAGCAAAACTTCTCTGAAGAAGAAAGAAGGATGGCCAATAGACGCATGAAGAAATGCAAATCAAAACAACATTGAGATACCACCTCACCCCAGTTAGAATGGCTATAATCAAGAACTCTAATAACAACAGATGCTGGAGGGGACGTGGACAGAAGGGAACCTTACTGCATTGTTGGGGGGAGTGTAAACTTGTTCAACCACTTTGGAAAGTAGTATGGAGGTTCCTCAAAAGACTTCACCTTAGAACTACCCTATGACCCAGCAATCCCATTTTTTGAGCATTTACCCAGATGATCACAAACCAGACCATACTAAAGCTACCAGCACAACTATGTTTATTACCATAGCTAAGATAAGGAAGCAACCCAGATGCCCCCCAGTAGATGAATGATCAAGAAAATGTGGTATATATACACAATGGAATTCTATGCCTCCATCAGAAAGAATGACATTGCTCCATTTGTTAGGGAATGGAAAGACTTGGAAAAAATTATATTAAGTGAAGTAAGCCAGGCCCAAAGAAACATAGGTCCCATGGTTTCCCTTATTTGCAATTACTAGTATATGTCTGAGACAAGCAGAAACAGATAAGTTGATATTAGGTGAAATGAACTCCAAGATAAGGATTCTAATGTTTTTTCTTGTGATTGTTTCTAACGTATTTGTAAGATGATTTCTTTGTTGCTTTGTATGTCCCTCCCCCATGGTGTAACCCCTGCTCTCACTTTATTTGATGTTGGTATAATTTGGGGAGTGGAAGGGCAAAAACAAATTGTTTAAATAGGGATACAGTTGGACCCATTGCAACAATGAGATGCACAAGACATGTCAAAAACCGAACTTCACAACTTTGGCGGTGGGGGCTGGGGATGAGAAGGGGAAACAAAGGCAACAATGCTTGATAAGAAATGTAGTCATTGGGCTGGGAAGGTGGCTCAGTGGTAGAGTGCTTGCCTTGCATGCCTGAGGCCCTGGGTTCGATTCCTCAGCACCACATAAGCAGAAAAAAAAAAGCTGGGAGTGGCGCTGTGGCTCAAGTGGTAGAGCGCCAGCCTTGAGCTGAAGAGCTGAGGGACAGCGCCCAGGCCCAGAATTCAGGCCCCACAACTGGCAAAAAAAAAAAAAGAAAGAAATGTAGTCATTAAATAAACATAGTTGTGCTGGAAAAAAAAAAAAGAAATGTGCTCATTATCTTGCCCATGTAATTGTAACCCCTCTGTACAGTATTTTCACAAAAAAGCATTTTCTGCCTCTGTTTTAGGGTATTAGTTAGCTATATGAATTGGAATTCACAATATCCTGGATTTGGATCAAGGGCTTCCATTTCTAGAAGGTTATTGTAAACAGAGAGATGGACCCGGAGATATTTGTTGGCAACAGTTTTTTCTAAGCTTGGAAGGATCCCCCACCCCTCCAATGTCAACCAATAAGGAAGCAAGTAACTAGTCTATAAAATGTGATGGTCTGCAGCAGTTAGAAGGAGTGAAGTACTAAGAAAATGCCAAAGATTTTTGAAGTTAAAAAAATTGTGTATGCTACTCATTTTTTTAATATTAGTATATATGTAAAGAAAAATGTATGTTCTCTACCCCCATTTTTAGCAAATCATTTCTGTTTGTTCTAAATGCTGAATGTGCATATTCAAATGACCTATATTTTTGAATTTTTTCAGTTCTCTAGAAGCTATAGCTATATGAACTTTGTTTATTCACTTCATTCCATTACCTAACTTGGACCCTGGGACAGAGAAAACCATTACATAATAAGTAAATCTAGGGTAAATCTATTTATAAAATTTAAAGTGTTTTACTTTTGGGGCTAGGAAGGTAGCTCAGTGGTAGAGTGCTTGCCTTGCATGCCTGAGGCCCTGGGTTCGATTCCTCAGCACCACATAAGCAAAAAGAGAAAAGCCGGAAGTGACGCTGTGTCTCAAGTGGTAGAGTGCTAGCCTTGAGCTGAAGAGCTGAGGGACAGCGCCCAGGCCCAGAGTTCAGGCCCCACAACCGGACCCAAAAAAAAAAAGAAAAAGCTGGGAGTGCACTATGGCTCAAGTGGTAGAGCGCTAGCCTTGAGCTGAAGAGCTGAGGGACAGCGCCCAGGCCCAGAGTTCAGGCCCCACAACCGGACCCAAAAAAAAAAAGAAAAAGCTGGGAGTGGCACTATGGCTCAAGTGGTAGAGCACTAGCCTTGAGCTGAAGAGCTGAGGGACAGTGCCCAGGCCCAGAGGTTAGGCCCACGACTGACAAAAAAAAAATAATAATTTAAAAAATAACATCAGACACATTAAAAAAAAGTGTTTAACTTTTTGTTAAAAAAAGAAAAATATGTTACAAATAGTTGACAATATCAGACTAAATCAATATTCTCTATATTAAGTACATCTACTATGATTATGATTCTTGGACATACTATATATCTTAAAGAAAAATTGTTCAGATAATTGAGACATTTGTGTTCAGCAATAAAATAAATATGCAGAAAATCGGGTAAAAAGGAGCTTCTGAAAATCTTCCATAAAGAGAAGAAACATCACAAAAAAGAATGGGAGGCTGTGGCCCGCTGATTGATGGCTCATGCCTGTAATCCTAGCTACTCAGGAGGCTGAGTTCTGAGGATCACAGTTCAAAGCCAAACCAAGTAGGAAAGTCCATGAGACTCTTATCTCCAATTAGCCACCAGAAAACCAGAAGTAGAGCTGTAAAGTGGTAGAATGCTAGCCTACAGCACAAAAGCTCAGGGATAGTGCCCAGGCCTGTTCAAGCCCATACTACCAACAACAACAAAAAAAAGGATTGCAGAAAAGTTACAAAACATGATAAAACAATTACACAGGTCTCTGCAATGAACATAACCTGGACTTCATTAAGTATCCAGAATTTACAGAAGTCAAAGACTGATGAAGGAAAAAGTCATTTAAGAAGAAAAGCAATGGCCAATCTGTACATACAAAGACATAGAGAAATGCAAGTGAAAAGTACAGTCAGGTGCTGTTCTACACCCATCTCTCATCTGCCACTGTCAGGCTTTTTAAATGTGACAGTGTTTATTAGTGATGACCACCACTGATGTCCAGCAGATCCTCTAATGGAAAAATAACAAGAGAAAATCTAGTGTCATAGAGGGGGTGCAGGGGGAGTGGGGGGATGCAATCTGGAAGTCTAGAGCCTAGAAAATGAATGTATCACAGGTTGTGCTTCCCCAAAAGTAGATTCTAAGACTAATAAAATGTCAGTGGTACTGAGGTTTTTAGTAGTTCTTTCCCAAAAGTACCAGTATAGAAAAACTGGACAGTGGGCAGAGTCCCATTGGATACAGAGGTCCATGCTGCTATTATATCTGGGAAATAAAGGAAGGAAAAGTGGAGTATTTGTCTCCCACTCACTGGTTGGGGGCCATTTCCAGGGTTGTCAGCTCCTTGCCTTACATGGGCTGAACTCCAGTCCCTGCAGTCTGGGGTATTTGCAATATGAAGCTAATCGCATACGCAAAAACAAGAAACAGCAATTCCACACTTCCAACTATGCATGCAAAATCTTTATATTTTGTGAAGTTTCTTTTGTTAAAAAAAAAAGTCTTGTATTTCAAAATTTTGGGAGAACAGGGCACAAGGATTCTGAGTTCAAGTCCAGACTAGACTACGTAGTGAGATCAAAAATACACAAACATACATATGTAAACAGGAAAAGTAATTAGAACTTAAAGATGGAGGGTGATGATGGCTTGTATTAGTTTTAAATCTATTTTTACATTGGAAAATCAGTTGGATTTTCTGATAGGGTTCGATTTGGCTTTAAGCACACTATTTTTGAGGTAATTTTTTTTTTTTTTGGTCAGTTATGGGGCTTGAACTCAGGGACTAGGCACTGTTCCTCAGCTCTTCAGCTCAAGGCTAGCACTCTTGAGCCACAGCACCACTTCCGGTTTTCTGGGGGTTAATTGGAGATAAGAGTCTCACGGACTTTACTGCTGGGGCTGGCTTTGAGCCACGATCCTCAGATCTCAGCCTCCTG